GCTATGTATAACATCCTACAAAAGGATGTTATTGCAGCACTGTCTTTAATAGCTAAAAACTGGGAACTAGCCATCAATATTCATAAAATGTGGTAGAGACATACAATGGAATGTAACACAACTGTTAAAAAAACTAACTAGTTCTAAAGGAATTTCTACCATAAAACTAGATGTGCATTCCTAAACATTTGATGTTCTGAACACACACACACTAAAATACCACCGATTATGTGAAAACTTCTAAATCAAATACTAAAAATACTATTTATATAAAAATCAAACACTAAAACTACTAATTATATAAAATGTTGGGTTTGGAGCAGACCAGTCTAAACCTATACAACTTTAGAACCTGAGCACTAAAAATGAAAATAAGTAACAGCAACTGGAACCTCAGAAGATGGACAACAGCTTAGCACTGTCCAAGCAGTGTTGACAACGGATTCCTTGGGAGCTATTAAAAATGCATAAAAATAATAAAGTGGAAATGCTGACCTGTGGATGCTGAGACAATGTAGACAGCAGTGGAGGTGAGAACAAGACATTAAGAGCCCTACAGTATTAATACTGTAACTTGAAGGAAAATACCCAAGTACAGATAATCACTTAAACAAACCAACCAACCAACCAACCAACAAGCTGAGAACCTATTCCTTTCTTGCTAAAATTGTAATTCTACACTCTTTATCACAATTCTCCTTACCTGGAAAATAAACTAACAACTTTCCCACTGATCTGACATCATACCTGTATTTACCAATCACTTATGTACTATCTAGTTTATAAAATACACTGTAGCAGAAGTGACTATATTATGTATCCACACTGAAATCTCAGGTAAATCTGTATAAAACTATGTATTAGAAGAGAATACATACAAGTTCAGAATACAAGTAGTTGAGGGAGAGGGTAATAAGAAGGCGACAAAGAAATCATTGTTACCCATAATGTCCTCTTCATTATAAAGTAACACTGAAGCAAAAAAAGACAAAATGATGATGTGCTATACATTAAGTTCATGTATCCTTGTTCTATATACTCTATAAATTACTTTTTAAATCATGTAAAGATGAGCTAACATTGCAAAGGGACACCGAAATGGTCATGTTTGTCACAAAACAAATTTAGTGTCTAGAATAGGCTGCAAAAATGATTTGATCTTTCTATCCACCTTCCTGCCCAATTTGAGTTCATTGCTTTTTAGTATAGCTATCTGAAATAACAGGGATGTGGAAGCCTAGTTCTACCATTCACTTCATAGTGTCCACATTTACAGAATAACAAACATACCTTAATGTCCCCTTGAAAGGCTTATTTTCTTTTTTAAATATTTTATTTATTTATTTATTTATTTTAGAGAGGAGAAGGGAGGGAGAAAGAGAAGGCGAGAGCATTAATGTGTGGTTGTTTCTTGAGCAACCCCCACTGGAGACCTGGCCTGCAATCCAGTCATGTGCCCTGACTGGGAATTGAACCAGCAATCCTTTGTTCTGCAGGCCAGAACTCAATCCACAGAGCCACGGCACCCAGGGCGAAAGGCTTATTTTCAAATAGACAATGAATTATTATAAATTGCAACTTTCCCTTGAATCTTCACATATACATCTGAAGTGTTAAAGCCAACTCTTACTACTAGCTAAGCTACTGACTTTATACAGATTTCATTCATTTTTCTACTAATATCCTTTTTCTGTTCCAGAATCCAATCCAGGATACCACAAAACATTTGGTCCTCAAGTATCCTTAGTATCCTCTGGTCAGTATCAGTTTCTAGTCTTATTTTTCATGACCTTGTAATTTTTGAAGAGTACTGGTCAGGTATTTTGAAAAATATTCCTCAATTTAGGTTTCTCTGATTTTTTTTCCCCTCAAGCTTAGAATAGGATTATGGATTTAGGAAAAGAATAAATATCATGGAGGTGAAGGGGATATGTGTTATTACCATAATTTATAACTGACAATGTTAGTCTTTATCACTTGTTTAAAGTAGCATTTGTCAGGTTTCTCCATTGTGAAGTTACTATTTTTTCCTCCATCTATTCTTTAGTCCAGTCCACATCTGAGGGATGCTTCTGAAGAAGCAAAGGTTGAGGGGTAGGGTATGGGGAAAAGTATCTACAAATCTTTAGAATAATTCTGTAAAATTTATCCCTTCACCATTTATTTATTTACTCAGCCATCTATATCAGCACGGACTCATGCATATTTATGTTCTACTTTGGGTAATAATCAAATACTAGGTTATTTTGTTGCTCAAATTGTGGACATTGGGAGCTCTTTCAGGTTGGCTCCTATATTCCTTTGACATGGGCCCATCATTTTATTTTTCTGGGCACTTCCTTACTTTCTGGCACCACTAGAGGCTCTAGTGTCGCCTTTGTATTTTCCTTGCTCCAGTCCTAAAATCAGCCATTTCTCCAAGGAGTTCTGCTTCGTTTTATTGGTGAATGTATTTAGAAATCAAGATCCGGGCACTGGGTGTCTGTTTACTAGTGTGTTACTGCTTCTAGCCCCTCTCAGTAGAAAAAGCTAAGAAATTTATGTAGGTGTACTAATGCAAATATAAGTACATACATAATTATTTGTGTATGTTACCTATACATATTTTAAATTAAACACGAGTTTCTACCGATGTCCTGACACTAATTCTGTGGTATATTTTATATATCAGACTGAGCTTCCTTCTCATACCTAGCACACTCAAACTGTATTCTCTATTAGCAAGCAGTCCATTTCACTCAAGCTGCAGTATCAGTTATAACAAAACAGAAAAATGAAACACATTTCAAAATGGAATCCCATGGTAGGTCATTTCCAGTGCTGGAACTATACATCAGCACACAATTAGAACTGTATACAAACCTATTTTTTTTTTTTTTTAACCCGTGTCCTATTACTTCAATGTTCATTGATCCTCGAACAACACACATTTGAACTTTGCAGGTCCACTTCAGACACAAATTTTTTCCAGTAAATATTGTAAATGCATTTTCTCTTCCTTATGATTTTTGTAATATTTTCCTTTTTTTTTTAACTCCTCAACCAATGACACTTTTTCTTTGCTTTTAGAGAAAGGAAGGAAGAGAAACATCAGTATGAGAAAGAAACATGGCCCTGACCTGTGTGGCTGAGTTGGTTGGGTGTCATGCCGCAAAGTAAAGTGTCCCTAGTTGATTCCCTGTCAGGGCACATACCTGAGTTGCAGGTTTTGTCCCTGGTGGAGATGCATATGAGAGGCAGCTGCTCAATTTTTCTTTCTCACATTGATGTTTCTCTCTCCCTCTCTTTCTCCCTCCTTTCCCCTCTCTCTAAACATAAATAAAAATCCCTGGGGGAAAAAAAAAAGCAGCAAACAAACATCAATTGGCAGCTAACTGCACACACCCAGACTGGGGATGGTATGCACCTAGATCAAAGATTGAACCTGCAACTTAGGAATGTGCCCTGTCGGGGAATCAAACCTGCAACCTTTTGGCTGTAGGGTTAACACTCCCACCAACTGAGCCATACCAGTCAGGGCAATTTTTGTGGTAACATTTTATTTTCTTTCGTTTACTTTGTTGTAAGAATACAGTATATAATACATATAACATACAAAATGTGAGTTAATTGACTGTTCATGTTATCAATAAGGCTTCCAGTCAACAGTAGGTTATTAGTGGTAAAGTTTTGGGGCAATAAAGGTATATATGAATTTTCGGCTGCAAAGGGGGAACCAGTGCTCCTAACCCTCACATTATTTAATGGTCAACTGTACTTTCTCTTGAAAAGCCACTTTCCATTAAAAAAAGAGAGATGAGAGACCAATGTCATGTCTTACTATGTATACACACCATCAATACAACATTTTAAAAAGAAAACAGAAATTATGTGATTTGCCCTACATCATACATCATACCACCAGCAAAGGGCAAAGCTGGAACCTAACTATGTTTAAATCTAATTATTCTACTCCAATTTCCAGTCTCTGCATTGCCCATCATTTTAGGTTATAAAAAAGAAGTTAATTTATAAAATAAAAAATAAAAACCAAAGTGACCTTCCCCCATATGCTCAATTCCCTACTAGAGCTTTTCTCAGCTGTTTCAAGAGAGAAAAAGTAGTTTGGGAAAGTGTAGTTAATCTTCTCTAAAACCAATAAACAGAATAAAGTAAGCATTCATATTTAGAGTTAAAACCACAACTAAAATAAACATAAATTTATTCAGGGAACAAATATTTACTTAATAACTACTCTACAAGTTAGACAAGCAAATGAGACACACACGCTCACCTTCCCAGAGGAATTCATAATCTAATGAGGCCAGGTATGTGATTCGATGTAAGAAACTTAATAGAGGAAATAAGACAGTAACAAGTGAAGTGTAAATATACAGGCAGTCTTTACTTTTTTCCTCTTCTCTTAAACTATTACTAACGTTATTAGTTTGTAATAGATTTGACTGTTTTCTAGCAGAAGTGAGTAGAATATCTATTAAAAAGGAATATTTGGTTATAGTTGAAGAGTAACTATTACTTTGATAGGTTAACTGCTTCAATGCTGAAAAGCAACAAGATACAATAAAACTTAAGAGGCAACAATTCTGGATTTCTATACAGATTCTCTGTGTTATGAGTTATCCAAGAGCGGGTAAACCATTTAACCTCTGTCTATATGTAACCATATTTAAAATAAAGCTATCGTTTGCCCTACCTACTTCACAAGACTTTTGAAGGCTCAAAGGAGAATTTCAGCAAGACCTGAAGTACTCTTCAACTGCAAACTACTATTTATTTAAAATTATAGACAGACAGACATATACATGTATACACACAGTGTTATTTACAAGGACACCAAGAAACAATGACGCCCATTACAGAAGTGCTTTGACCTCTAGTATTCTAAATTCTGCAAAGAAAAAATGAATCTAATCATTTAGTTATACACTTATATATAACATTAAGAAATAAAGATTAAATCCTATGAAACATCAGCTAGAAATTTAACTGAAAATACTTACCTTAACAAAATTGTCAGGAAACATTCCTCTTCTTCCATTTAGTTCTCCTTCTAGCCATCCTTCCTCCTGTAGTTTTTTCACATTCCTGATGATATCCCCAACTCGAATAGTTAATTCATCATCATGTACAGCATCATAGTCAAACTCCACAATATAGTCAACTAAAAAAATAAACAATAAATTAATGTTTAAAACTTAATGCATAATACTATTAATCATATTACTAAACCTAGGAAACTGTTTAGCAATAATAATATCACACAAAAATACAAGAACTACCTTAATGATTTTAAATATTTGGCTACATCAGCAACTTTTTCAATTACTTTGTACAAAGCACTGCACAAGTTTTAAGTAGAAGGCTCAATACAAAGTATAATGCCCATCATCAGTTCTTCTTATAGTCAGATATTATACCCTTTGTGTTTAGGGGCAGAAAAACTCCAGTCTCCATGATCACATCTCTTGATAGTTATATCTTGTGTAATTCCCTCTCCTTGAATGTGAACAGGGCCTGTTAACTGATTTCTTTTTTTAATTTAAAAATTTCATTTTTTCTTTTTTAAAATATATTTTATTAATTTATGCTATTATAGTTGTCCCATGCTTTTCTCCTTTATTCCCTTCCACACTACACCTCCCTCCTTAGTTCATGCCCATGTAAATTCTTTAGCTTTTCCATTTCCTATACTATTCTTAACCGCCTCCTGTCTATTTTGTACCTACTCTTTATGCTTCTTATTCCCTGTACCTTTCCCCCATTCTCTCCCCTCCTCCTCCCCTCTGATCTCCATTTCTGCAATTCTCTTCCTGTTCCAGTTGTTTGCTTAGTTTGCTTCTGTTTTTGTTTTCTTTAGGTTCAGTTGTCGATAGTTGCGAGTGTGTTGTCATTTTACTGTTCATAGTTTTTGACCTTCTTTTTCTTAGATAAGTCCCTTTAACAGAGCATATAAATGAGGGCCTGGTGATGATGAACTCCTTTAACTTGACCTTATCTGGGAAGCACTTTATCTGCCCTTCCATTCTAAATGGTAGCTTTGCCAGCAAAGAGTAATCTTGGATGCAGGTCCTTGCCTTTCATGACTTTGAATACTTCTTTCCAGATGCTCCTTGCCTACAAGGTTTCTTCTGAGAAATCAGCTGATAGTCTTATGGGAACTCCTTTGTAGGCTTAACCCCCTAAAATAAACATTTATAAGGATATAAATTTCACCTTTAAGTATAAAATTTTAGATTATAGGACATGATTTATACATACCATTAACATTTTACATAGCTCAATAAAAGAAAAGCAATTAACAGATTTTCTATTTAGATAGCATGCTAGCCATACCTCCATTCATCTCTCTTCCTCCCATAAGAATAAGAAAAAAGATCATACACAGGCAAAACCTACAACCAAAAAAAGGGAATACAGGCAGACACTGTTGGTTACCAAACCAACAGACATTCCCATACTGACTCCCCCTCCCTCCTTTCTTACTGAACTTTTACAAGTGAGACTTCTTTTGAAGACAAGATAAAGAATAGGTATGATTAGGATGAGAGAGGAGAAAGACGAAAGTGACCAGGATCTTTGCTAAATTAACCTACCCAAGATTTACAATACCTTTAGATTTCTTGTTACAGCAGTTACTTGATCTTAAGTTTTAAGTGTATTTTACTCAGTATTTCTATTTGCAGCTGAAAACATCCCAACTTCAGAAGGGAGCCAGTGAGAATTTTTTAGTAATAAATTTGCGAAAATGGGGCCGTAACTGATAAAGCCAGAATAGGAAGCCCAGAGAACTTAAGGAGCTATAAATGAGATGCCAAACTGCTCTGCAGAAGCCCAGAAAGGCTAGAAATTCACAACAGGAGGGCTCACAGGAAATGTAAACCTGAAAACAGGGAAATTAATCTCCACATGGAAGAGCTGACACCCATTATCAATCACAAAAGCTGTTAAGACAATAATGCTCAGTGGGCAGGCTCTTTTCTCCCAAAGCAAAAAAAAAACTAAAGGGTTAATCACATCAGTAACACAAACATTCACACAGAGTTTGGGGAAGCCAGTATAGTTATTAAGAATGAATGCTGGTTTCTTAGAGAAATGACTACTGATTTCCAGAATTTAAAGGCCTCCAGAGCCATGGGCAGCTACCCACCTGCTAATTCTAAAATAAAACTCTAAGTCCTATCAACATAAACAGAGTTCCCAATCAGCTTTTGACTAAAAGGAACCAGAAATCTTTGGAAATACGGGCAATTCCAGGGCTAAGGCAAAATGAGCCTGGAACATAGTGTTGTGTCACAAAGCAGGAAGTTCTCAAACAAAGATGAGGTGATGCGAAAAGGACACAGAAGTGATATTAAAAAGGCTCCTGCCGTCCTGGCCAGTATGGCTCAGTTGGCTGGACTGTAATCCTGTAGACCAAAAGGCCACAGGTTGAATTCCTGGTGTGCCTAAGTTACAAGCTGGATCCGTGGTAGGGTGAGTGCAAGAGGTGACCTATCAATGTTTCTCTCCTTTAGTCTTTCCCTCCCTTCCCCTCTCTAAGCATGTCCTTGGGTGAGGAATGAATGAATGAATGAATTAATTAATTAAAAGGCCCCTACTGGCCATATCAGGAAACCCTCAACATCAAAATAAATAATAGCAGTAACTGAATACACTCCATTGAATAAAGTAAGAAACCACGAAGTCCATACATGCATAAATATTAATTTCTTAAATTTTATGATTGGATTATGATTAAGTAGGAAAAGGTCCTAGTCTGTAGAAATTACACACTAAAATATTCAGAAGAAAGGTATTAGGGGAAAAAAACCTCTCTGTACTATACTTCTGAAATTTCTACATTATATTAAAACTTGTAAAAATTTAAATCTGTGCAAATTTGAATCTTCAAGAGATGTACAGGCCTACATCAAAGACATTGCAATTTCAGATCTTGTCAGTGTGGCTCAGTTGGTTTGGGTGTTGTCCCGCAAAGCAAAGGGTCATGGATTCGATTCCCAGTCATGGCACATCTGGGTTGTGAGTTCGCTCTCAGTCAGGGTGCATGTGAGAGGCCACTAACTGAAGTTTCTCTCTCACATCAATGTTTCTTTCCCTCTCTCCTTTCCTTTCCTTCTCTTTAAAAAATAAAATCTTTTTTAAAAAAAAGATATTGCAGATTCAGTTCCAGACCACTGCAATAAAGGCAGTATTGCAATAAAGCAAATCACACAAATTAATAAGACAAAACAATGAAGTTTGTCACATCAATTGATTTTTCCTTTCACGAACGATTTCTATGTAGCATGCAATGCCATTTGACAGCATTTTCCCCATAAAACTTCCACATATTCAGGATCCGCTTCTAATTCTAGTTGTCTTACTATTTCCACCACCTCTGTAGTTACTTCCTCCACTGAAGTCTTGCACCCCTCAAACATCCATGTTAGTTGTAATCAAATTCTTCCAAACTCCGGTTAATATAAATATTTTGACCTTTTCCCATGAATCTACAATGTGCTTAATGACATGTAGCAAAATAATTCACAAAATAAAATTGTGAATTATTTCCAGATTTTCAATTTACTTTGTCCAGTTCCATCAGAGGAATCACTATCTATGGCTGCTATAGTCTTACAAAATGTATTTCTTAAATAATAAGACTTGAAAGTCAAAATTACTCTTTGACTCACTGGCTACAGGATGAATGTTGTATTGGCAGGCATGAAAACATTAACCTCCTTGTACATCTCCAGTCTTGGGTGAGGAGGTGCACTGTCAATGAGCAGTAATAGTTTAAAAGGAATCTTTTTTTCTAAATAGTAGGTCTCAACAATGGGCTGAAAATATTCAGTAACCAAGTTGTAAACAGGCTTTGCTTTTCCTTTTCCATGTTGTCATCCAGGCTTTGTTGTTCCTTTTATGGAGCACAGGCAGAGTAGATTTGGCACAGCCTTAAGGGCCCTAGAATTTTCATAGTAAAAGAGCACTGACTTCAACTTAAAAGTCACCAGCTGCTTTCACTCCTAACAAGAGAATCAGCCTGTCATTCGAAGCCAGGCACTGACTTCTCCTCTCTAGCAGTTAAAAGTCCTAGATGGCATCATCTTCCAATACAAAGTTGCTTCACGTACATTGAAAAAAATCTGTTGTTTATATAACCAATCTTCATTAATTATCTTAGCAAGATGGCTTCTTGCCTTAAACCTCATGAACCTCTGCTAGCATCAAACTTTTCTTCTGCAGCTTCCTCGCCCCTCTCAGCCTTCAGGGAATTGAAGAGAGTTAGGGATTTGTTCTGAATTAGACTTTGGGTTATAGGAATGTTACGGCTGGTTTGATCTTCTATTGAGACCACTAAAACTTTCTATCAGCAATAAGGCTGTTTCACTTTCTTATCATCTGTGTGTTCACAAAAGTAGTACTTCTAATTTCCTTCAGGAACTTGTCCTTTGCATTCACAACTTGGCTATAACTGGCACAAGGAACCTACCTTTTGGTGTATTTCAGCTTTCAACTTGCCTTCCTAACTAAGCTCAATCATTTCTAAAGGCTTTGATTTAGAGAGACTGCTACTCTTCCTTTCACTTGAACATTTAGAGATCATTGCACGGTTATTAATTGGCTTAATTTCAGTATGATTGTGTCTCAGGAAAAAAGCAGGCCCGGAGAAAACAAAGATCAGAAATAGCTGGTCAACGGAGCAATCAGAACACACACATTTAGCAATTAAGTTCAAAATCTTATGTGGATATGATTTAAAGTGCCCCAAAACAGCCCTGACCAGTACGCTCAGCTGGTTAGGTGTCATCCTGCAAAGCAAGGGGTCACGGGTTTGGTCATCCCCTGACTGATGTTCTCTCTCACACTGATGTCTCCTCCTCTCTCCTTCTCCCTCCTTTCCCCTCTAAAAACCAGTTTTTTAAATCTTTGATAAAAATAAAGTGTCCCAAAACAATTACAATAGGAATATATATATTTTAAAAATCAATGGCCACAGATCCCCATAAAAAGTATAATTAAAAAGTTTGAAATACTGAGAGAATTACCAGAATGTGAAAGACATGAAGTAAGCAAATGTTGTTAAAAAATGGCACTGACAGTCTTGCTCAATACGGGATTGCCACAAACCTTGAATTCATAGAGGAAAAAAAGTACCTGTGAAGCACAATAAAACGATGC